TCAGCAGCTGAACCGACGGAAATCTTCGTCACAATTGAAGAAATCCGAGATTCAGAGAGAGATTAGCAAGAGTTGATGTACTATTAACGTCGTGGACGTCTTATCGAATACAAATGTCGAGATTATTGTGCGCACATTTTGGACAAAGTCGACGAGTTCTATGACAAGAACTGATTATTTGGGGTCACGCAACACCTGGTTTCTTTATAACCTTTCAAACTCGCTATCATGTTGTATTGTGTTATGAGCAGATCGTCAGAGTGGGGCGAAGATATACATGAATTTATTTTATTGACCAATTTAACACTGAACGATCTCAAGGACGAGTTTCGTAAAATATAAAAAATTTACGATACATTTCGCTCACCATCTCGACTTATCGTTGTTTTCTTTCAAAACTTCCAGTGAAGGTTATAAAAATTCTATTGGAGTTGACGCCTGTGATGCTTCAGTGTTTGCTTAAAATGAAGTTAGAGGAATGTCTTGTAGAAGCCAGCTTCAACGCTATCTAAAGATTTCTAATAGTACTATCTTTCTCTGATCATTTCATTGCTTGTCTCAAGACACAATGACCGTCGATCGGATTCTGATACAAAATCATTATTCGAGATAACAACATAGTTGGTAGTAGTCACTTGATGCGATCGGCTCTTTTCCTGTATATTCAATTTGGAGGTATCAGGCTCTTGAATTTGTTCATCACCGAACGATCAAATTTATTCACAGCTACATCTAAAACGCTCATAGTCATCGACTGGAGAATGAAATTAAAATTTCCTGCTCACATCCATCGTGATTGACAGATTGAGGCCGAGAACATTGGGTTGAAAATATCATAAAAATATGTTTTTCCGCTTCCTTGCTTCCCCTTTGATTATTACAGTTTTTTCGATTGGGCTGATTAGAATAGTTTCAAGCAAGAAGTATGAGGCATAAGCTTCACAATGAACTTAATTAAAGCATCGCTGGTTGCTGCTGTATACATCAGATAAAAAATATAATCGCGATATATTTTCAATTCTCTAATGTCTAGCGTGGTTAGAAATTCAAATCCGTCAAAGGTTTCTGTGTCTTTCTGTTATTCGATATGTTCTGATAGAAACATCGATCGCCACATTCACATTGAATGAATTTGTCGGCGTTTTATTCGTCATGATTTCACTAGCTGTCGATTCTTCAACTTTCTATCCACATCGGTGTTGTAATATAACAATAAAATAATTTTGGAATGGACGGTATAATTGATAATTTTTTTGTGGAAGTGCTCCAAGATATTTTTATCGAAGTAGCTTTATTCCAAAATCTCTAAACATGTGCAAATGGCGCGCTTTAAAGCTAGAGACAGCGGAATTGGCAGTGTTGCTCTGCTGGGCTTGCCTTACTCTTCCATCGACAGACACATGCGCCGCAGCTTACCCCTTGGGCCATAAATTACTAGTTATTGCATGTTTCAACGACTACGAGTAGATGTTTTCGATTGTTTCGGTTGGTTGGAAAATCCAGTCGACACCACCATCTTGGTAACTAACCTTGACACATCCGATGTCTGGATTCTCCCATTCCTTACGAAAGCTTGCCAGCTTCAAACGAAAAAGCACAACGATCTCCCATTGCCATTTCTGGTTCAGTCCATCAATGATCGCTCACATTGCTGATATATCCACGTTCTTGTCCCAATACTTGCACTCACAAAAGGAAAATCGCTTTTTCCTGCTCACTGCAATGCATCGCCACCTTCTTCCACTCGTCTTAAAATTCACGAAGCAAACATTCAAAGAAGACATTATGTGGAATGCGTTGCACACCGTTTCGCCGTGACGAAGTAAATATTGCGTGTGCGATCATGTTATCAAACGAGTTGTAGTCGTTAGACACAGCGTTGGAACTCTCGTGTACAGAAAAGACTTTTGTTTTTGCAAATATGCACTTGGTTGAGTAATGCTTATTGCCTCTGTAGTCGTAGTAGCTTGAAAAGGCTTGCCCACCCAAGATCGCCAGATACAACAGCACGTCTTTGTGAATTGGCGGAAAACAGCATTTGGGTTTCCAAGGCATGGCGTCTGTCGCCGACGACTGAACCCGTGCAATAATATCCTTCACTTCGTCGTCAATGAGATTCGCAAAATGCAAATGCATCCCGATTGCCTCCACCTCCAGTCGAGGTTTCTTTCTCAGTGGCTCTCCCCAAGTGACAACGTTTGAATGCGATATCGCCAAGAGCTGCGCATATCTTCCCCGCTTTGAATTTAAAAACGCTTTTTATTCGTGTGTTCTCAGACTGACATGTGCACAGGCATCGTCTAGCAAGCGGCGAAGCTCAACCTCGCTTGTTTCAACCACGAATTTCACTGCTCGTTTCATGAAATACCTTGCGAATCGTGCACGAGAATGCATCACAATGTCTTGCACAACAGGATATTTTGCCACAAGTTCCAGCCACGTTTGTTGGTCGTCCAATGTATTCAGCACTATTTGATAGCTGGGAAATACCGAAACAAGCGCAAACCATCTGATCTCAACGCCGCTGCTTTGCTTTACTTGCTCCAATAATTTTGTCATCTTGGTGTCTGTGCCCATCACGATGACCACAAGTCCGCATGCACGAAACACATTGCGCTGAAAGGCAGCCGTATTCATCCCTCCAGACTCAATATTCTCGTTGAAACTCATTTCATCCAGAACGAAGGATGGCAAGACGTTCTTCTCTGCCTTTATTTTGTCAAACAGAGCGAAAACAGTTTCTCGGTAGCATGGCTTCACGTTAAATCTCGTCGCATTGTCAAATCAAATCATTTGTCGAGCACTTTGGCGCTTTGCAGAGCAGCAATGCTCGAGTAATGCGCAAATGAAGCCATAGGTCCAAAGCAGATCATTCTGTTAATGCTTAATATGCAGTTCAGCACAAGCTCCGTATTTTTCTTCTCTGGAAAGTCTTTTTCAACCACC